CCCCAAAACCCCAAAACCCCAAAACCCCAAAACCCCAAAACCCCAAAACCCCGGAAGGGAAGCTTTAAATAGTCCAGAAAATAAATTAACAATAATTAATTAATATCAAATGGATATCTCTGAATTCAATCAAATGTAAGATGATATTCTGCATCCATGCTCACATGAGGCTTTTTCTGGGGGCATTTTTGTTTTCAACCAAATTATTGAGTATTTATGCTATTTTTAGGAACTTAGTCAGCCCTGATTATATGGAACCATCAAATCTTGAGAAGGATTTTAGCTTGGAAAATAAAGAATACGAGCAGCTCTTTGATGCTGAATCACAAGCCTCAGCTACTTTTGAGCCACTAAAGAGTTTTGAAGAGCAGATGAAATTCATCGAGCAAGATAGAAGAGATCTAGACTTGGGAGAAAGCAGAATCTACCAGTATATCAGTCACGATGAGCAAGAGTTCTGACTGAATAATTCAAGGATGCAAAGCGTCGAAGAGGTTGAATTTGATCCACAATATGAGAGTGATATAGACTCTTGTGGGATACCTGATTCTGGGAACCAAAAAGAAATGGAGATTTTTAAAAGAAGTAAATACTCATAGCTTTCCTACTCTTAGCAAGTGGTTCAACTTATTTTGTGAAGCCTCTTCCTTTTCAAATATCAAGTTTTATTCACAAAAACTACCTCCTTAATCTGAAGTGATATAAAATTCTGGCAATTCTCTTCAGGAAAGGGTTGTTTCTCAGTTAACTATCTCATAGTTGTCTTTTCTCTAGTTTAGTTAAATAATAAAATCGGTATCTTTTCTGAGTTTGAGAATTCATGCATAGTATTCATCAGTTATTCTGAGATTTTTACAATGATCATAAAAAGCTGATAATTAATCCGATCCTATTTTAGGTGAGCTTATGAGACTTCCAGACTTCACTCCTTCATCAGCTATGATGTACTCACCATTGAAGCCACCAATGGATTCTGATGTGAGTATGGGCAAAGTCGTTGAGGATGAGGTTGTTACACCTGACCACAATGCTGATATGCCTCATGAGAGTGACGACCTCGAACAGTGGGTTAGAACACTGAAGCAAACTCAAGGAAGGCTGGCTAGGATAAGCTTTTATGAGGAGGAACGTAAAGTCGAATCGAAGGAAATGTAAGCCATCCTCATCTAGTATTATTATCTCATAAACCTCATTTTTACTTTCTTTTTCTTTAGGTATGAGTAAAAACTAGGCCTTTGGCGACCATAGATATTTTCTGTTATCCTACCCCTCTGGGGTCTAGTATCAGAAATCTTCATAAATTTTAGTTAGAAATTATTAGAAGAGATGTCCCTTCCAGTTCTAAGCTCTTGCAGCTAAATGGTATATCTTTTCATTCTTTGTTTTTAAATAAATTTTTGAAAGAAATTTAGCTACATTGCTGGGACTGAAAACTGACTTTTGCTAAAACTACAAAACCTGGATATTTGCGCCGACACCTTTCTTAGGCGATGAGGTTAGATGTAATCAGATGCAATTCGCATCAGTGCAGTACTCTAATTGTTTCCAGCAAATTTTATTCCTCATCGGACGCAATTGTCTGAAACTATTGTTATTAGCCAGTTAGGAGAGTAACTTTTTTAGCATAATTCCAACATTTTGTATGCCTGAGGCTCAGGGATCCCTTTCGCGGAATTTGGATTTTTTTTTAAATAGTGTTAGCATTTCGTGAAAGAGTCTAGATAGTATAACCTTTATAAATAATTTGAGAAGATACGGGCTAGGTATTCGGCGAATTTGCGTAAATTATTTTATATAAAGCTATTAAATGAATTAGCAACTTATTTTTAGCTAAGATGTCTTTCAAATGATAGCTAGACCACATTCAAATCTTTGACTATGAAACTCTATAAGAATCGCTTATCAAGGCATCCTAAAGTGTTGGCAACAATTATATGACCTTTTTATAGAGACGATGAGTGCTCAGAGGATAGTGAATACTGAATGAGCCCCCAAGCTAATATATCAAGGAAGACATCTATCAGTAGTGAAGTCAATTGTAGATTCACACAAAGATCTTGCATCTCCAAGAAGCTTACCAAGGTTCTTGAAGTAAGTTTGATTATTGCTAACTTTTAGAAAAAGATTAAAGAAATCCCAAATGGGGAAATCTATAAATGCAAATTTTGAGACTACATAAATGCATGCAAGCAGGGAATCGGAGGACATACAGCTAAGAAGCATTCTAAAGAAAAGAAGGAAGCTGAAAGAATGACTTTGAAACAAAAGAGAGAACGTAAAAGAGTCATTTCTAAAAAGGTAAGCGCATATTTTCGTTTGCAAAACTTGGCCATTCTTACTCTAAATTTAGGCTTCAGAGTGTTTAAATAAAGAGTATATCCCAAACAAGGCTGAAAAAAGAGTTGTCTTGAGACAGAGGAAGAGACAACTTGTGTGCGAAGATCAACTATAGGCATTTTGGTTCTCTAATGCTCTAAACCTAATACTTCATTCTCCATATTTTTTATTCGAATCAATATCGAAATTACAAAAAGGGGTTTTGGGGTTTTGGGGTTTTGGGGTTTTGGGGTTTTGGGGTTTTGGGG